GCGCTCATGTATGCTCTTTCATTATCTCCTTTATCATCCCGTATTTTTTCTCCTTTTTTTTTTCTCCTGTTTAATGACGAAATAGCGTCGCGCAAATTCATACGCTATTATTGCTTCACGATATATCAGTTCCCCCCCAAAACAATACGAAGCAAACTATAGATTTGCCTTCGACAATTTACTACGAATATTCCATCACTCGTATCTCGCTTAATACATGATTTAGTAGCAAGAACGGCTGTCTCCTTCGAAGTTATCTAAAGTAAACGCCGACGTTAAATGTTAAATCGTCGGACTCGCGACACCGATATCGATTAATATATATATCTATAATAACAATAATTATAATAAATATTATAATTATATAAATATAATATATAAATATATTATATAAAATAAATATATATATATATATTTACAACCAAATGCAGCGATAGTTGCAACGCTACTGACATTTCCGATCAAAGATCAAAAACGTAACACCGATCCTCGTGTGCAATCGTGAATATTGTACAAAATCCCGCAAATCCGCGCTCTGAAATAGATCCGGACAACGAATCTGCTCCAACGATTTTTTTTTCTTTCAAGTTATCGCGCCACAGATTGACTTTGCAGTCACAGAAATTTCGTTTTGTTGGAATACAAACATACACACACGGACGCGAGTAGCGACAGTCTGACAGTTGAAATTGATTTATCCACGCGTCGTCACAAACAGCGCATACATAGGCGCATCGGATAGGAACTCAAATTACAACACGTTATTCGAATTTCTTTCTACAAATATTCGTTATGTAATGAAATTTCGCTGCGCTTGCCAGCAATCATTTGAACAAAGAATCTCAAGAAAAAAATAAATAGAGAAAAGTGAAAAGAAAGAGAAACCAATACAACTCGCAAAAGAAATACTTCTCGTGTAGTCATATACGCAATTTCAATTTAATCGAGGAATTTTACATATAAATGCGAGCTTTCCTCGACCGAGTCGAGAGGAACTAACTTTCTTCCGTACTTCCGTTTCTTCGGGCCGTGAGACTGCGATTTATTTCTCGTTTGTCGCAAAAAAACAGCGGTTAAAAAAAAAAAAAAAGAAATTGCGAGTTACGCGAATGGACTCGCATTATGCGAACCGAATATAAACGCTGACGTGAATAAACGCGAGCGGACATCAAGATAACGTGACGTAGGCGTAGGAAAGGAAATACGTATGCATATATCGCCGAGGTCTCACGCATTTATAAAAATAAATATCGCGTGCGTCGTACTTGTGCGCGCGGGGCTTCAGATTAATAAGGTATACATGCTACTTGATCCACTCACCGTCTCTTAATACGCAACAATATCCCAATGGCAAACGGCAATCAATAGTCTCGGGCAATGTGCCGCAGCTCTACTCTCTTCGCTACTACAAGAGAGAGTATCGGAAAGGGAAAGAGAGGAAGGGGGAGAGATAGATAGAGAGAGAGAGAGAGAGAGAGAGAGAGAGAGAAGAGAGAGA